GAAGTCTGAAAAGGCCCATCCCAGAGTACACTGGCACACATTTGTCAATGAGCAACATTCATTCTTTACTTTGAGTAAGACATTGATTGTAACATAAAAGCTTGGAAGCAAAGTGACTAGAACAAATTTGTAGTTCATTCAGCTTTTGAACAAATAAAAGGAACAAATAAAAGGAGAGCAGTATTCAAACGCTGGCTGGCAGGTGTGAATATCCTAATATCAAGGCAGTGTCATCTTTTGCTTTACTGGTTTGTGTTAAAGTTCTGAATTTTCTATCCTGTTATAGGCCTTGGTCTGTTTTATCCACTTCTGTATCCCCGCTACTAGAAAAGTGTTTGTTTGACACATCATAGCTGCTCAGAAAATATTCATTGAATGAATGCTATGGAGAAAGGGGCAAACAACACTCTTTGCGTTCTCAATATGCCGGGTGGAACTGCCCATGCCAAAGGCTTTTGCTATCCCTGTTTACTTGCCACTTTCCTTGACTTTCTGGAGAAGAATGAACTTAGATGTGCTATAAACAAGGATGCCAAGTGCATGCATCTCAATATAAGCAGAACTAAACCTGTGATCTTTCTCCTCAAATTAATGCCTCTCTGATATATACGTTATCTACCCAATAACTTAGAAATATTTTAGACTCTTCTCTCTCCCTATCCCATTTCCTAGTATAACCAATTTGTCATTATACACTGTACATTCCCCCCTTTTGCTATTGTTCACATCCTTCCTCACCTTGTTTTTCTCACCGCTTACTGCCTTAATCACACTCTTTTGATTTCTTACTGGCCTGCATTGTATTTTGTGTTTAATAGTCTTTTATTCCTCACCTACTCATACTTCTCTGAAAGCTTTTTATTCATTGAAATTACATTTAAAATGTCTTGTGACCACAAGGTTTTAAGAGAAAAATACACACATACACTGAATACATGCACATATGTACAAACATATATAGTATATAGGGATACAATTATTAGTAGTCCATAAATTATAAACAGCACGAATATATGTTTAATGTATTTTCAAAGATCTCTTTGTTGTCCCAAGGGTTTTTAAACCCAGGGCAATGAGCTACAGTAAAATTCAGGTAAAGTAGGAAAGGGCAGCAGTGTGGGAGGGCAGGGGTGTTGACGTGCCTGGCTTCCAAGAAACACATGCATCTCAAGAAGGGACCTTTGGGAAAGAATTCACCTGAGAGAAGAGGAGATGGAACGTTAGCCCCTTAAGCAATCTATGCCCAAAGGCCCCTAGGAGAGTCTTTGTGTTTTTCTGGGTCTCACGGACACCAGTTTAAAGATCACTGTTCTAGATCACAAATGAGGTAAGATCCCTCCCTTTGCTTAATTTTCCAGTGTTTCTCATGGCAACTGAATGGGTTACTCTTGAATCTTACTTGATCTGCCTCATATCAACTTAATTTTTCTCAACTTCTTTCATTTTTCTGTTTTTACCCCATACCCTACCCATATCAATCATGTACCTTGTCTTGAATTGCCATCCAGCCACCCATGTCTTTACCCCTTTCCTCACTGGCCTAATTGCAGACATTTGCTAAGAATGAATTAAGGATTTTTAACTCTACAATGGAAAGCACCCCTTTGTAGGTGTTAAATAAATGGTGGTAATTATGATTTTCTAATAGTTATTATATGATAAAACAAGAGTTTAGAAATTCCCCTCCAACTTTCTAGAGAGTAAGTGACATAATCATTATCTTTATTCTTTGTTTTAGAATCATTGAAAACCCAGAATGAGTTCAGCTGGACTGGACTAAGAGAAAACCAGAAAACTGCCCCAGTTAATAATATGAATAAAAAATAATAATTAATTATCTGTTATAACCAGTACAAGTAAATACAGATCCCCACCCTCTGGTGTACACACTGCATAATCTTCTCCCTTTGGGTGTGGGTGAAACTTTTGAATACAATGAGAACTACTCTTGTGATTAGGTTATATTATACAACAAAGACGAAGAGATTTCGCATATGTAACTAAAGTCCCTAATCAGTTGACTGTAAGTGAATTAAAAGGGAAATTAACCTAGGCAGGACTGACCTAATTAGGTTAGCTCTTTAAAAGAGAGTCTGGAGGTCAAATGCTCAAAGCAGGAGAGATGCTATCCTGTTGGCAGGAGTAAACTGCCATATTGTAGAGAGGGTTATGTGTCACAGAAAGTTAGGTAGTCTCTAGAAGAATTATACCACAGCCTTAAAACCACAAGAAACTGAATTCTGTCAAAACTAGTGAACTTTAAATGCAACATGGAGTTTTACATGAGACCAGAGGTGTGGTAGGCACCTTGATCAGGAACTTTTGAGACCCTAGCAAGGAACCCGCTTGAGTTATGGCTGGACTCCTGACCCACAGAAAATATGAGACAATAAATGTGTGTTGCTGTTAGCCACTAAGGTTTTGGTAATTTGTTATGCCACAATAGAAAATAAAGGCACAATTGAATCCACCACCAAATTTTTGGTTTCACATTAAAGGCTTTACTATATTTGTGAACTAAAACATTTGAAAGAATATTCATAAAACATTATCTCTTATGCTTTCCAGTATGTCAACTTCATTTCATTCACTTTAATAGAAGTATTATCTCTTTATAGTCATATTTATATCTCTTTCATATATGTATTTTTTAAACTAAAAGCTATCCTTTAATAAAATATTTCCAAAATATACCCAAAACTCAGAAGACTTTTTAAATCTGAGTGATACAGGTTTGGCTCACAAATTCTGTTGTTTTTTGTTTTGTTTTGTTTTGTTTTGTTTTTTAGAATTAACACCCTATAAATACTATCCTCTGCTTAACAAAGACATTGGAATTATATAGCATGTTACTTGTGTAACTAGCCAGCTCCTCTTTGGACAGAAGAGAAAAAAGAAACCTACTTAATAGCTAGAAAGTGTCATAGTCATTGTATTTCTTGCCTCTCTCAATCTCTTT